GGTTTTAATACAGAAAGTACCATAAAAGAGCACATTATGACACGCTTCAGTAGACAGTATTGATAACACAACTCTATCTCGCTCTCTCTCTCTCTTTCTGCAGTGCAGTGTTCTGTGTTTCCTGTGACAACCTATCAGTGTACTCAAATCTATGAGCCATGGAGACGCAGGCCGCCTCTATCCCTGCTCTCAAAAAGCATGACTCAACAAAGCATCCTCCCACCCCATAATCCTCTGCCCAGGAGATGTCCACCACTCAAGTCCAAAGCCGTGATGCTGAAGGTAAAGCCTTGCTCACAAAAATAGATACATTTCGCAGGGCTTTGGGTAATGTGATACCTCGCAAAGAAATGTGATATGTGAACGCTAATTTCATGGGGAAAAATTTCCACTATAAGCAATAAGATCTGACACACTCACCTGAGGCAGGTAAATGGATGACTCCTGCACAAGTTTCATGAGAGTCTACTTGACCTTTTGACCCTCACGAATTCTGATAGACGTGGAACTAATCAGAGTCAATTTCTTATATAAGCCTGTGCCAATTTGTCAGCAAGTCATTTCTGTATCGGCCCCACTGTTCCGGTTTCAGCATTTTCTAAAAATATCCGCGTGTGAAAAGAATGAAGATGACGTCCTCTGGGGAAAAATAGAACAAAATGACATATTCAAGAAAATAACGAGATATGGCATTTTGTGGGTTATTGAGTGGACTTTTTCCAGAGTAACAGAAAAGTTTGTCTCGGACGAGAGCGAGTGTCGATTCTAATTGAAAAACCTGATTTATTTGCACATGAAGTCACATGCTTGACTAAGGAATGTGTGCTGTGATTGGTGAGTGCACTGTGAGCAGCGATTGGTCGGTTTATCGAGAACGTATGTAGCGATTGGCCACCTTATGAATGTAAGTCAGAGTCGTGTGTTATTCAGAATTTAATTGAGAATTAATTTCGTCATTCAAATTGAATTGAATTTGAATTGAGGTACATAAGATGTGGCGCACTGCAATGTGAATTTGACTTTAAAGAAGTAAAATTAAAATTACTATTAATTTCTAATGACATTTTTTTTTTTTTTGGGGGGGGAAATGTTTAAAAATCCTTTAATTTTGAAGGTTAATGGTTTTAGTTTGTGATTACTTTATACCCTACCGTTCAAAAGGATTGGGTCTGTAAAAAAAAATCATACTTTATTCAGCAAGAATGGATTAAATCTATTCACAATACAACATTGTTACTGTCTGTTTTGATCAAATAATGCAGTTTCGGTGAGCATAGATCATCAAAAAACAATCTTATTGACCTCAAACTATTGAACAGTAGTTTGTTTCCTCATATTTAATAATTTAACTTTCGTGGACCAGGATGGAAGAACACTTCATTTCCCAGAATACATTACCTTGTTAAATGTATTTGAATTGCAGTTCAGTAAGTTCCTCTTTGTCTCATTACAGTTTAACTTCCTGTGGTGTGTGTGGTCAATTCAATTCAATATCCAACTCATAAACTTAAAGGGAACCAATTCTTAAATCCAGAATTTGGCCCGACCCTAATGTGAGCAGTAATTGGGCCGTTTTACAGTCAAGGTGAGCAGCAATTAGTAAATTTTTGTTCAGGGCAAAGATAATTCATTATATTGCTGGTTTAATATATGGAGGCTAGCATTACAGGTACCCTTGGCCCTTATCGTGGGTCTAAAAGTGAATCAGCCTGCAATCTGAAGTCAAAATTGATAAACTAATGTCAAGTTTGCACTATTGTCTTCCGCAGCATTAGCCACATAAATGTTTAATACAAACCCAAACAATGTCTGTGCTTAAGCTATTAAATGAATCAGACCATCCCTCCATTAACAGATTAAAAGCTTTACATTGTCTCCTTGTGTTCTCCATCTCTACCTCCCTCCTCCAATTCTCCATTTCTAATTGACTGTAGATAGAGCGGAGTAGAATAAAGCTTCCCCAGGGAACCTGGCTGGTTACAGCGGGAATCTCAGGACTGAATCCTTCTAATGTTTACAGGAATAGTTCAGCCAAAGATGAAGCCTCTGTCATCATTTACTCACCCTCATGTCGTTTCAAACCTGTTTGACTTTCTTTATTTCGTGGAAATGCTTTTAATAATATACAGTACTGGTTGCTTTTTTGGAGTCACAACGAATAGAGGGCTGTCTTTAAAAATGGGTCCATATGACTTGTGCACTCTATTTCAAGTCTTCTGGAAACCATATGATAACAAACTAAAAGTCATTATTCACTGATAATCTCACCTCCAGTGAGCTATTAATGGCAATTAACAACCGGATCAGTGTTTTTTTTTTCTTAGTCAAATCATTAAAATCTGGCTTAAAAGAATGATTCATTCACAAAACTATTTATCCACTAATGACTTTCAGTGGATAATGACTGTTCCTGACACAAAGCTATCGTCTGACTTCCAGGGTTATCATTGTTAATTAAAACCATTGAAACATTTTTTTTTCTTGTCAATAGAAATAAAGCTGAAATAAAATTAAATATAAATATTAGATGAAAACCTCATATGAAAGAAATTTCAAAACGTTGCCTTGGCAATTAACTAAAAAAGTTGAAGCACTAAAGTGAAAAAAATTAATAAAGCCCAAATAGTAATAATATATATATATTAGGGCTGTCAAATGATTAATCATGATTAATCACATCCAAAATAAAAGGTTTTTTCTACATAATATATGTGGGTGCACTGTGTATAATTATTTTGTATATGTATAAATACACACACATGCATGTATATTTAAGAAAAAAATATTATTTATATATAAAATATTTATATTTACATATAATATAAATTATATATAAATCTATATACAGTATATACATGAAAATATTTCTTAAATATATACATGCATGTGTGTGTATTTATATATATAAAATAACTATACACAGTGCACCCACATATATTATGTAGAAAAACCTTTTATTTTGGATGTGATTAATTACGATTAATCATTTGACAGCCCTAATATATATATATATATATTTTATTTTTTTTCAATATTACATACAATTAAAATGAAATCTGAAAATATAAAGCTTAAAGCTAATTCGAAATTATAAATAAAATTGATTAAAAATATATATAAATAATACCGATGACTTCAGAAGACCTGAAATATAGTGCATGGACTGCTTTTGTGATACATGTATCATTGAAATTATGTTGCAATTATTCACACTGTATATATTCCACAAATGAAAATAAAAGTCAGACATGAGGGTGAGTAGTTAATGACAGTGTTTTTTATTTGTGGATGAACTATCCCTTTAAAGAGAGACACAGAGAGAGCTGGTCTGACTGATTTAGTCGATTGCCTTATTAAATGATAAAACCATCAAGTCTGCCTTCTGGCCAGTGAAAGAGACGCCACACAATTATAGAGCGAAAGAGAGAGAGACGCAGAGGAGGGGTGCTGGATTTCTCGAGCCGTCAGGCAGAGACAAATCCTCACAAACACAAAGCCCGTAAATTCCCATGTGTGTAAAAGTTGACGTCTCTTTTTAGAAGCATGATCCGAAGTGCTCATCGCAAGGCAGTGGCTATGGCAATACTTTGTTCATGTATGTTTATGCAAGAAGAGATGCATTCTGGGAGGGGAAAGCCAGAGATCGCAGACTGTGTGATTAAACTCAGTGGGACACAAAAGAAATCTGATTAATAAATAAACGCTTTCTCACCGCCTTCCATATGCCGGAGAGACTCCACCAGCACCTCAGCTGCCTTTATCAGAGGTGAGGATGCTCTGATTAACCCAGATGCAATTAGAACAATGACACGGCCCAGGGGAGGTCACCGACTGCACAAACAATCGTACCGCATTCACTGCGCTACAGAGAGCGTGTGCTTATGTATCAGAGATGATATGTGCAAAACATGAAATGTTAAATACCCACCCAGATGACAATTAAAATGGACAGTTCACCCAAAAATGTAAATCATCATCATCTTCTGTCATTATCCACTCTCCCTCACGTTGTTCCAAACCTGTATGGCTTCATCTCTTTTGCGGAACACAAAAGAAGATATTATGAAGAACTGTTTTTGTTTATACATTGAAAGTCAGTGGGGTCCAATGTTGTTCATTGTATGGACAAAAATAAAAACACATCTCCTTTTGTGTTCCACAGAAGAAAGTCAGTAATTTGGCTTTTGGAACAACTTTTTCATAACTTTGACGACTTATTCTTCTCCTAAAATTCTATAGAAAGCATAATGTGAGTGGCGTTTTCTTGCAATACCTCAATGCTACAGTATGTCAAAAGACTCCACCCCAAAATAATATTAATATCGTAAAAGGTGTATGTCTGATCGCTTTTGCAAGCACCACTAATGACTCGATTGTTGACATACACTACTGTTCAAAAGTTTGGAGTGAGTATGATTTTTCTTTAATAAATAAATCAAATCAAATAATGCTTTTACTTTCTATTAATGAAAGAATTTTGAAAAAAATGTCACTACTTCAACAAAGATATTAAGCAGCACAGCTCTTTTCAACATTTATAATAATAAGAAATGTTTCTTGAGCAGCAAATCAGAATATTAGAATGATTTCTGAAGAATCATGTGACACTGAAGACTGGAATAATGTAATAAATCTCTTTGGAAAAAGAGATTATTTCAAAACCATTAAAAAATCTTTCCAACCCCAAACTTAATATTTTCATGATTTGTTATCAATTTTAAGGCAACGAGGTTACTTGCTTTAAGTTAAACCAACAATATTTTTTATGAGTACAGAGCTATAAATTGCTATAAATTTGGTCTTGAAAGAGTCAAATTGAATCTCTTTTGATTGCAGTTCACGAGGAGACGTGAGATTGAGATAAGCTAAAGAAAAATACCCGGGAAGCAGGAGACTTAAGCATAAGTCTCAGTTTGAGCACCATTTAATCTCATTGTTGCTCATTCACGCTGACACATGCTATTATCACAGGCACAGATGACGACATCTAGACAAGCCCAGCTGATTTGTTTTCTTTTATTTCAGATGGTACATTATCATGGATCACAGAAACAGTGAATTCTCATTTTTACACCTGATAGGAAACAGGGCACATAAACAGAAGATGAGCAGAGGGAAAGAACCGGCACAGTCAAACAGGTCCGAAAAGTGACCCAGAGGGCAGTGGCTGAGGAAGAGTTCAGGTGTGACGGGGTTTATTAAAGGCAAGTCCAACATGGCACAGAGAGACATGCTCGAACCACAGCACACTCCACATGTCCACTCAACCAGTCACCGAATGGCAAGTATTTCAAGTATAATGACTATTTAAAATTTAATCCTGTGTGCTATTTAAGTATTTTCCCACTTCAGTTCCTTAATGTTTATGAAATGTCACATGAAGCGTTTTGCATGACTGAGCATGTGCAGCAATGAAGGGAGCTCTGATTGGCTACATCACTCAGGGCTATGATGGACATAATCATCATTCAGCGCCAACACTGAAGCAAATAATCAGGCCAAGACAGAATCTGCTCACATTTCTGCGCTAGATTAGAGTTAAACATGGTAAAATATGTACAGGTGCAGTCCAGCTACCCTTCCAATCACTTCCGTTCAATCCAGAGAAAAAGTGGAAACACAAGTTTGATGATTCATCAGTCGTTGCTCATATTTGGTGACCTGTAAATTTGTATAGGGAGAAGATGTTTCGCCCAAAACATCACAGATTGACCTTGTATCTCATCAGAGATGGTTTGCAGTGCAATAAATCAAAGCGACACAATCAAGAGTGTTTTTTTTTATAAAATACTGACATCATCTTTGTGATAAAAGTGACCATTGTTCAATAAATACTAATCAGATAATAAATAATAATCATCAATCTAAGTCATAGTTCATTAGCCTGATTAAACCGTGACTGCACCTTTAAATTTGGAGTTGAGAGAATGACACTAATGCACAAATTAACCTAAATTAATTATATTCCAATGTTATAATACTTTCCTATTCCAGCTGAATATGCAGAGACGACTAAAAATAAGCAAATTGTTGGTTGGCACAAAAAACTTAATTCGAGTCATTTCTCTGTTTGAATACTCTCAACCAATGGTGTAAGTTTGGGGCGGGGCTATATTTTTCGCCGACCAATAGCAGTGTTAGGGCAACCTGTTTGAAAGCAATAATTATTTTTTCCAATTGACCCTAGCGGTGTGGAAATGACACATTTGCGTTTTAACACAGAAAGGGACATGTCTAGATATGACTGCCGTTGCAGTTCTCCATAAATCTGCAGGCCTGCAAATGCTTAAGTAGACTAGAGTGCTCAGTGTTGATAGTTTCATTAAAATTAACTGCAAAACAAGACAAAGACAATCCATCAAGTCATTATTAAAAGTGAAAATACAGCGCTATGAAAAAAAAAAAAGTGCACTCCATAAAAGCAGATTAAATACAGACACTATTTTGGGCATCTTCATTAGAAAAACATTAGCAGTGGTGATTATTTTCATGCAATTGATGGTGCATTGTGGGGTGACAAACAGTGGCACGCAGTCCAGTGGGCTCACAATGCAGAGCCAGAGGAGAGAGAGCGAATCAACATCAGTACAACTGAAATGAGTTTCAGTACGGGTGCCTGCAGCCGCCAAATAAATCAGTGTCCGCATACTATAATAATAAAGCTATGAGCCTACAGGGTAAACTACTCTCTCTCTCTCTCATGCAATCTTCACGCTCCTCTCTTTCTCTCCATCATCACGCTCGCAGCTCTCTCGCTGGGGTGTTTTTTTCTCTAACCCATACTCTCTCTCTCTCCTCCACTTTCTCCATCCCTTTATCCCTTATTGTGTGTTTATCTCTTTTCCTGTCCCTTGGTCTCTGCAATCTAGCACTGGGCGCATAGGATTCGCTGTGGCAGGTTTCTCTTGTGTACACAGACGCAGATGGGAGCGAAATGTTAGACACATATTAAGCAAATCTGTATACGGGCCAAGTCGTGGTTGTAATGCGGCACACGCAAGCAAACAGCGAAAATTGTTATGGTTAATTTAGTGAGGGCTGCATCTCTCTAGCTCTGTTCCAGAACTTGGCAGGTTTGCAATGCTGGTTTCAGACATGGGTACGTGTTCTCACCAGTAAAACCATGCTGGTTAACTAGCTTTATCAGTTAAGCTGAATATGTTAACCAGCACCAAACCTTCACGTACCTGCAACTCGACTTATTGATTTCAATAGAGTTTGATGTTAGCGTTTTGCTAAGCTAATGACATGATATGCCAATAGGCTACACATAAAAAAAAACAGTGCACTGCTCTTGTTTTCCAGTTAAAATATAAAAAAATCCTTGAAAGAAGATTAAACAACACAGCATCAAATATTAGGACTTGTTTACTGAGAATATGAGGGTTGTTTTCAAACTGTAAACGAGTTAATGCACTTTTCACTTGTTTTTTTTAAGATAAAATATACTCGTATACAATTGCCAAAGTTTTAATATCTTATGCAGTGTTGCTCAAGTAAATTTATTTTCTTCTAAGGACTTTAAAATATGTTTTACTGATAAACAAGTCTAAAAACGACTAATTAAAAACTCATTAAGGAGTCATTTTTTTACAGCGTATGCACAATAATTGGGTAAAATAGCTTTTTTTTGTCCATGTGTTCCAGTTAAGATATCTAAAAACCCTCAAAACAAGTTTACTTGATAAACAACACAGCATTTGATATTAGGACTTGTTTTCAGAGAATACGAGTTGTCTTACTGCAGTTTTTTTTAAGCATAAATTATTTAAAACTTTTTAATACTTATTAAAACTACATTTGTTTTAATATCTTATACAGTGTTGCTGTTAACGTCAATGTGTTTAGTTTTAAGAATTTTTTTATGTTTTACTGATAAACAAGTAAAACAAAGGCTAATTAAAAACTCATTAAGATTTTCTTTTAATTAGATTGAAGTATTTTTATCAGTTCTTTTCAGAATTGAATTAAATGCATTTAAAACCAACTTCGTTTATCATTACATCCGTTCTGGGATGGCGTACATTAACATTTGGCCGAAAACAGGTACTGTATCTTACTACATTTCAGAACAGCCTTCGCTAAACATTAAAATGCTGTCTAAGTAGGAAGCTCACTAGGTTTTGGAACAGTGCTAACACTTATCTTCTGTCCTGAAACATTTCTGCAATGTGCATTTATTTAACGCATGGATTGATTATTTATTTTCTGCAATATTGTAATGTGAATCACTGCCACCCATGCCTTTTCTCTCCTCCGGTGTCACTCATTCTCTGCCTCCCTCTGTTATGGCTGGGCGGACGACACTGGCCCCCGATAACAATTAAAAAATAACAACAGCCATAATAAAGGCCGCCCGCTATTTGGACAGGCGCATCAATCCAGAAGCGCTCTGGTTTCTTCTCTTAATTAACCCTGCTGATTGAGCGGGCGCGCTGTGTGGCTCGCTGACCTTGAGGAGCACGACGTCTGTTCAATCAGAGAGCACTCCTCGTGTTCCTCCGCATAATAGATCAGTTCAGAACCTGATTGTTAAGTCATGTCGGGGTAATCTAAGGTGCTTCATGAGAATGCCAGATGAGATATGAGCACTTTAGCTAAGCTTTAATTTCTTCCGGAGAGGAGGAGGATGAGGATGAGCAGGGAGGGGAACGTGTAGATGGACACTGGGTCTGAATACTTCCTTTCACACTGTTGAAAAGTTTGGAGTCAGTAATATTTAAAAGAGAAAAAGGAATGGCGCATGATTGAAAGTGACAGTAAAGACCTTTATAATGTTACCTGAAATTATTTCAAATAAATGCTGTGTTTTTTTTTACTTTCGATTCATTAAAGTATCCTGAAAACAGTGCATCACAATCTCTAAAATATGAAGCATCACAGTTGTTTTCAACATTGATAATAATAATAAGAAATGTTTCGTGAGCAGCAAATCATCATATTAGAATGATTTCTGAAGGATCATGTGACACTGAAGACTGGAGCAATGATGCTAAAAATTCAGCTTTGCATCACAGGAATAAATTACATTTTAAAATATATTAAAATAGAAAAAAGTTATTTTCTATTGTAATAATATTTCACAATATTACTGTTTTTGCTGTATTTTTTATCAAATAAATGCAGCCTTAGTGAGTACAAGTAACTTCTTTCAAAAACATTTTTTTTTTTTATTGACCCCAAACTTTTGAACGAAAGTGCATAAAAAAATACTTTTGAGTGATTTAATGATGTTCAATTATATGTATTTGTTATTCGTATTATTTTAATAGTTGTGTTTAATTGCTTCAGGACAAGAGTCATATCAAGTGAAATGTTAAAGGAATGACATCATGTAAAATAAGTATTTACTTGTAATGTAAATAAAAAGAAAGGCTTCACTAGAAATAAAGGGTCAGTGGGGTTCTTTATAGACCCCTATAGAGGTCTTATGCCAAGAAGGTTCGGTAACGCTTCCTTTTACAGTACAGTACTTACATGTACTTACCTAGAAAGTACTGGCTAATATAAGGTAAGGTATTAGGGGTAGGTTCAGGGTTAGTACCTAGTTATTACCCAGTAATTATAATTACTATAATAAGTACATAGTAAGTACATGGGTAACAGGACTGTAAAAGGAAGCATTACCGAAGGTTCTACATAAGGAGAAATTACTTAAATTATCGTATAATACTGTCATGTTAAATAGGTTATTTAAAAAAAATGTCTAGTGTATGTTCACAAGCTGTTTAAATCATAAAATTGAATGTAAATTAAATTCATTCATTCAAACTAAATCCATAAAATAATCTCATAATAATTATAATCTCGCATGAGCACCTGACAGTACCTTTTAAGGTTCTATAGAATATAAGGTTCCTTTTCTTCTAAGAGCGTATTTTGATTATCTAGATGACAATATTGTGATAATGTTATGTTTTTGAACAGGCATTACAATCTTGCGGTCTAAGTGGAATAGGATTCTGCGAGGGACCGAATCTTGTATTGTTACTCCATAACCTACTGATCATAGGCCTACTACTACATCAATGTTTAAGAATAAGTTCTTGATTGAATTCAGTACCAGTGTGGCCATGTTTAGTCTCTCTCGCTTCCATGGACACGCACGAGAGCGAATGAAGAGAGAGCAAAAGAAACCAGATTGAGAAAAAAGCACTGGTGTCAGCAAAAGATTTATAAGAAACAGAAAAAGCATGTGATTCTAGACTGTATGTTGTTGTTTTTTTTTCTTGGCTGGAGGGTTTGAGTCTCTCCCCGTCTCCGTCTGTTCTTTCCCTTGATCTCTTTTTTCTATTTGGTTCCCATCACGAGTAATTCGTCCCCGTGAACACACAACAAGATAAACAGTTTGTGTTGTAAGCCATTATCTCTGTGAAAGTAAAACAACAGGCACAGGGAGAGGTACCAGGCGACAGGCGGTTGGAAAATGACTTCCTGTTTCTTCCCCTCGGGTTCTAAACCCAGACCGGACTCCGACACCTGCTGTGCGGCCACATATTTATTTATTTAGCGTGTTTATTTCTTTATTTTCGGCTTTATTACTCATGTTTTTTTCTGTTCGTGGACGTGTTTTATATTTATGCCCCTGGTTAGAGTGCACAGTCTGTGCTGAGTCAAAAAATGAAAGCACATCGCCGATAGAGCAATAAATGAAAAGCGCTTGCATCTGCGATCGGCTCCTCAGCAGGGCAGAGGCGTGTGTGTGTGATTAGGTGTCCGGCCTGACTCTCCAGACACGGAGGAGAGAGAAACGGAAGATTCGCGAATCGTGCTCGACAAGAGTTTCTCTCTCATGTCGGCAGCAGTGATGTCAAGCGAATCACGTACTTACAAACACACACACATTTTGTCTCATTTCATACAACGACATGATCAGCGACAATAAACACGGCGGGTTTTCCAAACGCAGGAAATGCTGACTGACGGCAATGTTTTCCTGGTTTCTGAAGCACACTCACATTATATAGATACATGGTACGACTAAATCATTCAGGTTACCGTCGGCTAATGTCAGTCCGAGGAGTTGTGAATCTTCTGTGTGATTCAAATGATTCAGGCGGGGAATCCCGTTCAGAAAGCAATTCCCTAATGAACAAGCAGCTATATCTATAGCAGACCCTCTTCCCGAGAAGGAGAAAAAGAATGAATGAAAGAAGGAAAGAGGGGTAGAACAGTTGTCCGCTCGTTTTGCCCTCCGATCTGTCGTTCTTGTCGTCCCTCGTTGATAGGTTGTAGAGTCTGGATGTAAGCGAGTACTTCATGAGGAAGTGTGTTGGCGTGTGTTGTGTAAGAGAGAGTGAGTGTGTGTGTGTGTGTGTGTGAGTGAGGGTTTTACCCCCAGAAAAGGGCAATCAGCAGCTGAACCGTGAGTAGGAAGTGAGGGACGGAGAGGGTGGTGGCCAAGCTGTGGACTCTCCCGGCCTCAGAGCCCAGGTTAGTGACTGTCGCCTTGTCCGAGAACGGAGGGATGACGTTGAACCCTCCTCCGGTTTGGTCTTCTTCCTCTTCCTCCTCCTCCTCATCTTCTTCTTCTTCGCTTTCTACCACCTTTTGGAAACAGAGAGAAATGTCTCTCAAAAACCGTGGATAATTTTTTGGGGTTTTTCCACCTTGTTACATGGGTAGTGTTCCCGGTCAAAAAAAGACCGGCCTACAAAAATGTGCTTATAAATCTCTCATTATGCTATGTTGTTGCCAAATATTGGATTTAATCTTTTTATCAACTTGTTTTCTTTCATTTAGGACAGGTTTTGTATTTCATTTTGGAACTTTTGATCATAGGCCTCATCAAGGCTCCGATATAGCCTACTTCAAGCGGAAACAAAATCGAAAAACGAACTGATGTGACGTCATTTCGAACAAAATCAAACCAAAACGAACTTCGTTTGGAGTTCGTTTTGGGAGTTCGAAACAGCTTGCCACTTTCCGTAAAAGTTCGCTCCGGCTGGTAAACACCTTTGTACTACCATTGGTAAGTGGCGGTTGCGTAACAGGTAGGTGTGTGCGGAGGCTCCGCCTTCTTTCACGTGGAAAATCTTTTCCGATTCATTTCTCCTGTTGAGTCCGTCGAGGTCAGACGTCCGCAAGTGAAAACATTAACACACTGGAGAGCTGCTTTAAAGCAATATATTGTATAAAGTGCTATATGCAGGTGACATAACTTTACTAGAGTACCGAATTGCAGAGCTCATGCAAACATATCCATGTTCCTATGATCGGATGCTTTTCTTAAGCTTTATTTAAAAAATGCATGCTGATTTCCTAATTTTTGTTGCATGTTTATTGTGTTATTGAGGGGAAAGCACACAGCACATATTAACTTATTCATCTAAACGCTGCTCTCTGCAGTGTGGACGTCGTCGGATGTACGCTAACCACGTATTTCAAATTTTATTTCACCCCTAAGCGAAGAACGAAAAAGAACTTCGCCATGAGTATATCAGGGCCGTTAATCTTCACTTATGCACTATTTTTTTGAGGTAAATAAGCACGAGTGAACTTTTTCACTAAAAACACTGAGGTGCATAAGCTCAGATCAATGTGGCCTATGATCAAAAAGAAATACACAGCCTGTGCTAATTGAAAGAAAACAAGTTGACAAAAAGATTGAATTCATTTGGTGATAATATAGCATAATGAAAGATTTACAAGCGATTCAAAAGGCTGGTCATTTTTGACCCGGGAACACCAAATTAGGTAAAAGACCTTCAACACAGCACAAGGGTTGTTGCAACAATTTCAATCAATAGAGTGCAATAGTGCCTTTCCACTTTTTCAGCGGCCTTGGTTCTGGGAGTATTTATCTTTTCCCATAGGGATTTTTTTATAAGCCATTGACCAAATCAATCAGCTTTGAGGTAAATCACAAAATTACAAACTTTGATTTGAAGCAAAAAAGTATTTGAAAATTAAACAAAAAGGCAAAGATACTTAATATATATATATGTTTTAAGTAGTTTGAGAGCATATGGAAACTGACTCCAGGTCAGTCACAGTGCTTCATGGAAGTGGGCGGGTACTAAAGTGTTCTTTTGGAGCAATTTGCTTGTAGCAGTTCTCTGATTGGTGGAGATTTCTCTTCAGAATCATGGGTAATGTCTTTTATATATAATGATGGTCGATATCTTAAACAAAATCATATACCATTGATTAACAACCTCGTAGCTCGTTGCAGGTCTGTCTTTAAAGGCTTAGATTTTATTGTTCAATATCAATTCCCCTATGGAGAAAATGAATGGGATTTTTACTTCCAGAACCCGACTGTTGCAGTGTATGGCATGAGTTTGAAGGAGGGTCTATTTGCTGTCCGACTAATTGCAGTTAGAGTGTTTGGTAAAGTGTTTTTTAATCACTTTTCCTTTAATACAAAGTAAACAACTTGCCAAGTGTTCACTGCAATAACAAAATGGAAAGAATATACATCAAATAAATTCCAGCTCACATGACTATATATATATACACTCACCGGCCACTTTATTAGGTACCCCATGCTAGTAACGGGTTGGACCCCCTTTTGCCTTCAGAACTGCCTCAATTCTTCGTGGCATAGATTCAACAAGGTGCTGGAAGCATTCCTCAGGGAGTTTGGTCCATATTGACATGATGGCATCACACAGTTGCCGCAGATTTGTCGGCTGCACATCCATGATGCGAATCTCCCGTTCCACCACATCCCAAAGATGCTCTATTGGGTTGAGATCTGGTGACTGTGGAGGCCATTTTAGTACAGTGAACTCATTGTCATGTTCAAGAAACCAATTTGAAATGATTAGAGCTTTGTGACATGGTGGAAGTAGCCATCAGAGGATGGGTACATGGTGGCCATAAAGGGATGGACATGGTCAGAAACAATGCTCAGGTAGGCCGTGGCATTTAAACGATGCCCAATTGGCACTAAGGGGCCTAAAGTGTGCCAGGAAAACATCCCCCACACCATTACACCACCACCACCAGCCTGCACAGTGGTAACAAGGCATGATGGTTCCATGTTCTCATTCTGTTTACGCCAAATTCTGACTCTAACATCTGAATGTCTCAACAGAAATCGAGACTCATCAGACCAGGCAACATTTTTCCAGTCTTCAACTGTTCAATTTTGGTGAGCTCTTGCAAATTGTAGCCTCTTTTTCCTATTTGTAGTGGAGATGAGTGGTACCCGGTGGAGTCTTCTGCTGTTGTAGCCCATCCGCCTCAAGGTTGTGCGTGTTGTGGCTTCACAAATGCTTTGCTGCATACCTCGGTTGTAACGAGTGGTTATTTCAGTCACTGTTGCCCTTCTATCAGCTCGAACCAGTCTGGCCATTCTCCTCTGACCTCTGGCATCAACAAGGCATTTCCGCCCACAGAACTGCCGCTCACTGGATTGTTTTTCTTTTTCGGACCATTCTCTGTAAACCCTAGAGATGGTTGTGCGTGAAAATCCCAGTAGATTAGCAGTTTCTGAAATACTCAGACCAGCCCTTCTGGCACCAACAATCATGCCACGTTCAAAGTCACTCAAATCAACTTTCTTCCCCATACTGATGCTCGGTTTGAACTGCAGGAGATTGTCTTGACCATGTCTACATGCCTCAATGCACTGAGTTGCCGCCATGTGATTGGCTGCTTAGAAATTAAGTGTTAACGAGCAGTTGGACAGGTGTACCTAATAAAGTGGCCGGTGAGTGTATATATAAAATATAATATAAAAAAATATAAGTTATAATATTAATAATAATAAAATAAATTCCAGCTCACATGACTATATATATATATATATATATATATATATATATATATATATATGCGTGTGTATATGTGTCTCTGTGTGTGTAATTATAGTTATAGTTTATAATATATAGCTTTATGAGAAATATCTGAGGCAAAGTTATGATGAATCATATAAGAAATAAATTAATCAACTGAGAAATACATTTTTAGAAAAGTAGGAGCAGTACTATGGTGAGTGTTTGTCGGAGAGGGACGGAGAGATCGTGAGGGAGAGGGATTATAGGAACGAACGATAAAAGAAGGAGAAAGAGAAAAAGAGTTAGCGAGAGAGACAGACAGATGGGTACGAATACATTAATATTAATGAAGTTTGACTGATGCACCGTGCTTGCAAACACCTTTAGTTAATCCGTTCAGAGAGAGAGACAGGCCGAGAAAGTGAGAAGCACATCAAGAGAGACAGATCAGGAAAGACGGGAACATTTGGAGAGGAGAGATTTGCTGGAGAACACAAGTGAGAGAGTGAGTCTAGGAAAGAAATAAATGACAGCAGAAACTGAATTGAATCCTTTTTGTCTGTGGGCCCAGATTATCTCTAAGCTGAATGCTGTGGTCTGTGTGTTCTGAGAACAGAGGATGTGAACGCAGTCCAAAGCGAGGACATGGGAACACAAAGACACACAGATCAGAGCAGCATTTCTTGATAAAGTCTGTATGCCTATGGATGCCAAGGGATTATTTCCTTTTCTTCTATGTGGGCAGCGAATGTACAATCCATTTTACAATATATAGTCAAGTAAGTGTTGCTATCACGACTGTGTCATTCCCTGGAGCTCCGCGGCTATCAAGAAATTACTTTTGCTGGATATTATGCTACTGCTAATGCTAATAACACAGCCAGGGGGGGCAGGATTTAGCCGATTCGCTTTAGTACTACACCATTATGCTGTCAAAAAGCAAGCTTCTTTATTGACGACCATTAAAAAGTAGCCAACAAAATGATTTTTGCAAGAAATATTCATTACAAAAAAATCTGTAGTGTACAAGATGATTTATTCGGATGGTGTTACTCCCTGAAGCTCTAGTAGCTTATTTGTCTATCAAGAAATGACTTTGGCACAGATATTATGCAAATTCTAATAGCTTGTCAATGGGGTCACGTTTTGGGTAGTTAGTGTTAACAGTTCGCCTCTCCTGGTAGATGCTTTTTTTTTTTTTTTTTTGAAGTAGCAAACAAAATAACAAAAATATAAAATTATTTTGATTAATTAATTTTGTTATTTTAATTTTTTTAGAAGATTTCACCAGCCACTTTATTTATTTATTTATTCATTTTTATTTAATTGCACTCAAGATTTAATTTATTTATTTACAGGGCCTAAAACTAACTTTTTGCCACAACTGCCAATGGCCGGTGACTTCTAAAATCTACCAGCCATAAATATTTTTTACCAGCATTGAAACAGTGATTAATCATTATTAAAGTTACAAAAGTTATTCAGTCAAGAGCAGTGAGTGATTTTCTTTGTCTTTTGTTTGATTTAAACCGGACTCACACTGTACGATTTTGGCCACAATTTGGCCATCTGAGACACATTTTGCAAATCCTAAAAGATTCCTCTGATCCTAGGCTAAAATCTGAAGTCTTTGATCGTTAGTTTGACATGTTCACCGACAGCTGATAAATAACCGTTGCGATCAAATTTCACCTCAGACGAAATTCTGGCAGTGTCAAAAGATTTGACTCACAGTCCTGCAGTGTGTCAAATTGTCTTTGTTTTCAAAACAAGCTGTGACCAAAATAACCGTTAGAGATTTCTTTTTAGTCACCATTTCAATCCCGCGTGTAATGCAGCTCACCGTCACCGAACGGGTCATTGATTGATGATGTAAAACTCCGGACGAGTTCTTGTGTTTTTAACGCGTCTTGTATGTCGTACAGTCTGTCATTAATGACAGCTGAGATCTTACAGTGTTACATGGATTACTTGGGGATCATATTCGCATTTAAAAACACAAACAGCAGCAGGTTTATTAGGCTGTTGTCACTTTAAGACCTGATGAATGGATCCAATATACTGTTACACATGCATTTTCTTTCTCAACTGTTTACGTTCACTTAAGACATAACTGACTGTGTTTGAGGATACTTGCCAAGACAGACATGTTCAAACAAAATTGTCAAACTGCCCGTTCAAGTGCAAGAAGATGTGAAAGGGATTCTATGCGCAAGTAATTAATTGATTTCCCTTTCGCGTCTTCTTGCGCTTGAATATTTAAATTGGCAAGGCTTAAACTTTCGTGACGATGCAGCACTGGCCTATCTGAGCATTGTTCCCGTTTGTTTACGTTCATGTTCACATAATATTCGCATATCGAGTCCCGCTCGGAGTAGGGTGAGTAGGACCGGAGCGTTGCATTGGTGCCGTGACCCAGATGGGGGAGTGAGGTTTAGGGGGATGAGTGTAACGGAGGCCAGCTAGTGAGAGCTGTGCAGATAAAGCTCACTTCCCTGATCTCAAGAGGCGCACTAGCAACTGACGCTAGAGACTGGGGACTTTAGGGCCGTAGAGGTTACACCAGTGGTTCTCAATGTTCCTGGAGCCCCTCATCACCACACATTTTGCATGTCTCCTTAATCAAACACATCTGATTCAGGTCATCAGCTCATTAGTAGAGTCTCCAAGACCTGAAATGGGTTGTGTCAGACAAAAGAGTGATGCGAAATGTGCATTGTTGGGGAGGGGCTTGGTTGAGAACCATTGAGTTACACTAATGCTAATAACTTTTCACTGCTTACTGATAAATGTTCAGAGAAATTGATGCAAAGTGTATAGTCAGTTTCAGATACAGCATAAAACCAAGGTAACCACAAGACAAATTAAAGATCTGATCCAGTAACGCTGCCTACTAAGTCTCATTGAGTCATTTAAAGTTTGGCGGTTGGCCATAATGAAAGAAAAATAAAGCTGACACCCTCATTCCAAAGCACAATGTAATCTGACTAAAGGGAAGAGCAAATCGATATAGATTTAATTCCTTTCCATGATTGTGTTCTTGAGAGCCTGTGGGTTGTGTGATTATTTCTGATTGAATTGAAGGTGGCAGTTCAGGCAGTTTGATTCGACCCCACAGTGATCTCTTTAGATACATGTGCCATTTGTTTATCATCTTTGTGCATGCCTGAAAACCATGACATCAAGTGAACATATCCGTGAAATGACCATTTTAAAGTATGATAAAGACCAAATAGGACATCTTAACAAGGTCATGTGCGTAGTGGGTTAGAGGTCGGACCTTTAGGTCAAAGCATCGTGACCCTATTGATTTGGTTAAAGAAATAGGTTTCTTTCAAAGGCGCTAAAGAGACAGAACAACAAAAACACGCATTCATTACTCTTGTTCTGAAATATATGCACCACAGTTGAATCAATACAGTAAATTAACAAGGAGCATGTTGGGAGCATCCATTACGCACGTGGGAACTAAGCCACATTAAATGCAGAAGGTGGGAATTCTGAACAAGCCTTTTTGTGCTTACTGTAGCGGCTGCTGGGGCGACGGCGTGTGACCGTGTGTTTTCTGCAGTGACACGATCAGCCGCGTATAAACGTTTACTTCAGTTCTCTGATCCATCAGTATGCTCAAAGCAGCAGGACTGCGGGTTTGTTCGGCTTGTGGAGTAAGTAGTTTTGTAAATCTGATGTATCAAAGGGCCAAAATCAAACACAAGGACAAACTCGTGGGTCATTCGGTTGTTAAATAGAGGCTATGACCACAACCAGAATTAAGAATCAGGTTTATTGTGCTTACAAAGAACTCGTACACATCGGCGGAGCTTTATAAATGGTTCTTCTATATGTAAATTATTTTGAGTTGGCATTGGAGCTGGAGGAGATTGATAGTTTTATGGTGGTTCTGTGTTAGGAAATGTGTTCACTACTCACTGCATTGGGTTCAGGCAGAAGGTTGATGTTCATCTCATCACGCTGGACCTGGGGGGAAGGGCGAGGTGGAGGGAGGGGCGTTCCCTCTACTGGACGAGGGGTGGAGCTTCCCATGTTATCAATGGCATTACCTGTCCGGTAAAGAGATCGGGTGAGTTTAAGACTGTTGTTGTTTTTTTACAGTTTTACATGCTAATTAGAATAATTATAAGTATATGAATACAGATACTGATCTAAAATATAAAAGATTTTAAAACCATTTCAATTTTTGTGACTTTTACTTCATATCTGTTTGAAGATTTCTGTATTCTAGTGTACTACAAAAAGTTGACAGAATATACATTTAGTCCATATCCATGTTCAAAAATTGACCAAAAATAGTAATGATTATCTCTAGGCATATAAAAATTATTGTGGATAGCATAGTTGAGATATTTTGTCTCAGAAGAATTTGATGAGATATGCTTGAGTTCGTATTAAAATCTTGATTGCAGTCTTTTGAGCACAGTTTAAGACATTGTTAAGATCACTTCTGAAACTTTAGAGTAGGCATACACTACCGTTCAAAAGTTTGGTGTCGGTATTTTTTTTTTTTTTTTTTTTATGAAGTCTCTTATGCTCACCAAGTCTGCAATTATTTGAGCTAAAATACAGTAAAAACATCAATACTGTGAATTTACAATTTAATAATTACAATTTAAAATAACAGTTTTTCCATTCCAACAAATTTAATGCATCCTTGCTGAATAAAAGTATTAATTTCTTTAAAAAAAGAAGGAAAAAAAAGATTTATGACATTACTGGGAGTTTTTTTGCAGGAGAAGATGATGGTAGATTTGTGTCAAGCCGTAACTTAAACTAAAGGCAATTGGCTATTTAAAAAAAGAACCCGCACCAACTTCCTGTTTCAATAGGAAATATGTCATCACAGAAAAAAACTGTCAGAGCAGTGCCATATTTACACTCCTTTTCTCTGACATTAGGATGATCTGTTAATGATATTCTGGGATACTCACGCAGGCAGGTGTTGCTGGTGAACATGTGCAGGATACGCAGGCAGTCCTGCCACTGGTTCCCGCTGCCTTCGCAATTACACCACTGCGACACCTCTGTACTGCTGTTACTCACGTAGTTTGGTGTCATTATGGTACCTGTGGAGGGAGGGAGAGAGAAAGAGGGGATGAGAGCCAGCCAGAGGAAAAGATCCCATGCCAATTAGCCCGAAGCCCATCTGGGAAAATCTCCACGAAGTGTAGTCTATCCACCCCCCTCCACTTTAATTATGTTGCTTCAGGTTGTCCTGCTAATTCAACATAAGTGCCACACTGGGCTAAAGTAAACCCACGACATGAAGTTGAACCCAAACTCCACTGACCAATCGTTCCCGTTACCAATTCTTGTTTCGGTGAGTGAACTCACTCCATCAGGACGCAGAAGTGCTCGTCATTAAAAATGTAATATTATTTAAGTACAGACTGCGCAGTGACGTATCGATTTGTGCGTTTTGTACTCCTCATTAAGCGTCCATTTTTTTCAAGGTCGTCCGAGGTGGTTTCTCACCGATGAGCCCAGCGTAGGCCTTGAGGCACACGGCTCCACTTTCCCGGAGACAGCCGGAGGGAGAGACAGAAGACGGCTGACAGTTCTGCTGGAAATCAGCCAGTCTTGACCTGATGGACCAGACAAATTTGAATACAGACTAAAATGTATTTCAAATTCTGACAGAGGAAATATATACACAGAATGCATGATCAGATGCTCAAATCAGATTTTTTTTTTTTATACCATGTGATTTTGTTCTGTGTAGTGTGTTCAGTTTTTGTCAGGAGTGTAGGAATGATTTGAAAAGTGAGGGGGGCACATTATCAGTGTTGTTTGTGAATATTAATTAGGTAATGTAATGTTCACCCTATAGTTGTAACTGGTTTACTGACAAACACGTTATGTGGGTGAGGTATATTAGGTTTATTATTTACCAAATGCACGCTTGGTTTTTTACCTAATGCGACTGGTTCACAGTGGCTTCTGCTCGGTCTTGAGCCATTGTGGATATTTTTACGCTGCCTGCCTCTGAAATGTTGGTGTTACTGTGGAACAGTGTTACTAGAACAGTGTTTGTTTATTGATATTTATATACTATTATAGTATTTATTAATATTTTGAATTAGCTTTAATTTTTATATTGTTATTTTTATACTATTATAGCATTTATTACTATTTTGAAATAATTTAGTTTAGGTTTTAGTCAGTTTTTGTTCATTTGACATTTTTAGTTAATGTTTTTTATTATTTCTATTTAGCTTCATTTTTTTTATTTCAGTTTTAGTCATTTTAGTACTAGAAATTAAACATTTTATTTCAGTTTTTGCCAAAGTATAATTTCTAATTTTTCAGTTACGTTTATTAAGTATACATTTTTCATGTAATATTCATACCTTATTTAATCGATTAATGAAAAAAAAAATTTGAATAGTAGTTTTAGTTAACAATAACAGCACTGCTTTAGAAATAAATTGAGATTCAGTAATTTAATGAGTGATTCGATTTTTTTAGATATCTAATGCTATTTCGTAATATTTTTTAAAGGACTGCCTCCTTTGAGAAAACGACCCACGCTAACTAAAATGTGTCCATGTTGAAGGTTAGTGTCTGCATTTTCCAAACATTTCTCATTTTTATCCTTGTTTAAATGCACAGTAGACGTGTCTAAACGTATAGTATGCGACCTGTTGTCCTTTCTTCCATCCAGCTCAGCATGTTCTGTGCTATTAATGATGCTTAGATAAGCATAACTGCCAGAGACATCTGTTTCTAGAAGAAGATAAAAGGGAGGTCTTGTACTTCAAGAAGAAAGGTGGATATTATCATGCTGTGCTGTTATCAAAGCTGAGGTTTGTCTAGTTTGAATGAGGGTTAGAACATCTGATGACAGTGTGGTATGTCAGAATCGGTTACACAAATTGGTTCTTTCAAATTGTTTTTTTTTTTCAAATAACTGATTCAGCAGATCTTTACATCATCATTTGGTCTCTGACATTCTGTCGTGGCATGTTACATGCTCTAAAACATTCAAAGAAAGCCCTGTGTAGCCGTTTTTAACTTTTTTTAAATAAGGGTGTTTGTTGTTATCTTACGTGTCCCACCACACTTTGTTACAGCCATGACTCTGGGTACATTTACACGACAACGATGTACAAAAAACGGAAAAGGTTTTTCCTTTGCATTTTTCAGGTACAGAAGACAATGTTGTCAAAACGATTCCCGTTCACACGGATTCGCGAAAACTACTAAAAACGCTGTATTCTGCTGCCAGGCCAGTAGTTGGCGATGTAAAGAAACACTACATGCCTATAGACTGAACACGTAATATGGATGCACATGATGTCACCGTTGATGCACAAATTCACGTTTTTGTAGTTTTCAAAAGTTTGCGTTTTCAGGCCCCTAAAACACTGTTGTTGTGTAAATGAACGCCCAAAATGCATAAAAAGTTTCCGTTTTTAGTTAAAAATGAAATAGTTACAGTTATCGTCTCCCAACTACAGAAACGTGAATTTGTGAAAACGGTGACATCATGCCCATGCGTATTACATGTTCAGTCTATAATAGGCATGTAGTGTTTCTTTACAAAGTGACATCGACAACTACTGATCATTTTGACACTGTTGTCGTCTGTATGCGAAAAAATGCAATGTAAAAACTTTTCCATTTTTAGAACATTGATGTCGCGTAAAAGTATCCTTAGAACTTAAATATAATTAGCATTTTCAAATAAATAATAAAAAACACTAAAATTAATGTACATATCTTGGCTGAAAACATTTTTGCATTTTTCAATAAAATGTTGTTTATTAAAATCAACTCTGTGTGTTTGACAATTTAAAATAGCTTTTTTCATATATTTTTAATAGATTTTCTATAATCAATGTTAAAAACATTTGTGCTGCTTAATATTTCGCTGAAAACTGTTATAGGCTACTGTACATTTTCTTTCAGGATTCCTTGATGAATAGAAATTTCAAAAGAACAGCATTTATTTCAACTAGCAATGTTTGTTTTTTAAATGTCGTTACTGTCAATTTAAAGCATCCTTGATAAATAAGAATGAATTTTTTTCGGGAAAAAATCGTACTGACCTTTAAACACTTGAACGGAAGTGTAGGGCATTTTCTCAGAAGAGGCAGTAGACATATTTCAGATATGTTTTATTTGTAACATTTCTGCTATTAAAGATTTCTCACATGTCAGAACAAGATTTGGTTTGGTTCAATGGGTTGTTGACTTGATCTAAATGAGTTCGGTTTGTGAATGAATAATTCGTCCAAATAACCGGATTCATTGAAAAGATCCAAATCTGATATTTGTACCGTGCACGACTGCTAACAGACACGTATCTCACCTGCACAGGTTGTCTTTGAAGCAGTAGCCCTCCAGATTAAGGCAGTTGGGCTGTCCGTCTCGCTCCTCGTAGGAACAGGAGGGCACGATGGTTTTTCTCCTCCTCTCCCCGCATAGAGTATCCGAACAGGGGCAAAATAAGACACCAAAGCTGTACTCCTCTGGAACACGCTCCAGGAACCTCCGCAGGGCCCGGTGGCATTTGTGCCGGTTACAGTGGTTGGTGCCAGGTATGATCTTAGTGCAAGCTAACGCATACTCAGAGCGCAGGGAACCACACTTCTCGTACAACCCACAGTCCTGAGCTGCTTTCAGACACTGGTTCTGATCCGTCAGAGGAAGGGACGACACTAAGAAAGAGGAAAAGAGACTTTCAATGAAGTGTCCAAATACTTTTTGGGGTCTGTATAAAGCCTTTTAAATTGCACACACAAATTCAACAGCAAGACAACTAGGAAAACGCTATTACATGCCAACATACAGCGATACACTCCGTCCATCATCACAGTGCATTCAGCTGTGGAGGAAAACATTGTATTTGGTCGTATCACTGATGTGTCTGCAGTACCTGAAACTATTGAGGCTAGTTTTGATGTTTCAGTATTCCTCACAAGTTCCAGTTCAATGTCTTCATATGGGGACGTCTCAATGTCATCATAACCTGCAATGCATACACACACACAACCAAAAGACATCAGATTGTTTGAGGCTAATTAAGCACGACGCCTTATTACACCTAATTAACTGCACCGCATATAATCAAATTAGAGATTATATAATATTTTCCTTGATTATGATTCACATACTGTAGTTCTAAAGGATTTCAATAAAAGAGGCCAGTGTTTGTGATATATGCATTTGTTGAACTGACAGTGCACAGATTTAGGGGTCTGGATCGAGACACAAGATAAAATAGCGATGAGTCTATTTGTATCACACAACCCTGGGGACGCCGCATGCCAAGATGAGTGAGTATGAAACACACACACACACACACAGGCCTGTACTGTATATTTGATCTTGTGGGGACTTTCTGTTCATATCTAATGTTTATAAAATAATATATAAGGATGAAAAGAATAGAAGTATTAAACTTTGGCATGTTTGGCACCTTGTCCTATTTGTGCTACATTTTTATTTCCTTTTTATATATTTTAATGTATTTCTTTTTTACTATTTTTATTTTAATTTAATTTAAATTTTATTACATTTTTGCTTTTATTTATTTTAATTATATTTTATTATTTACTTTAATTTTAATTTATAGTTTTCTTTTTCATTATTTTTTCTTTCCTTTTTATTTATTTTCATTTTGAATTAAATTTGTATTTATTTATTTATTTTAAATAAATATTTTATTTATTACTTTTAATGTTGTTTATATGTGGAGTTTTTAATATGCTTAAAGTCAAACCATGTGAAAATTCATAAGTCAACGCCGTTGCTGAGTATTTTACCATTGCTGAGACTTTAAATGTATTTATTTTTAAATGGTTTTAAACTTAGTTTTATGTGTCTATGTAAAGCACTTGCATGAATTACCGCTGTGTATGAAATGCACTACAGTATATAAATAAACCTAAAATCTATCAGAGACTTAAGAAAACTGCCTAGCAACACCCTAGTAACCACCCACAACACCTTAGTAACCTCTTGAATGCTAACAACTTAAAATGCCTTAGCAATGAATTAGCAAACACTGGGAAATTTGTCAGCGAGCACCACTAATATTTTCTTCCATAAAGTCTTGTTATAATTACTTAACACTTAGCCTAACCCCCCCAAAAAACACACTTTGACATTTCACAAGCCTTTTATTTTTGTGTTGACATCCCCAGAAGGAGAGTTTTGTCATGTTGTGATATTCTTTTGGGGACATTTTCTGAAATTTTGGTTATCAAAACCTTCCCCCTCACACACATTTAGACTCTTCAAACAAATGCAAACTGGCAGAATCCCTCCTGTCATCTTGTTCGCGCTGACACACACTCCACATTTCAATCTATGGAGGAGCTACATCAAGTGTGCTACATTCACAATTACATGCCTTGCGTATTCTGCCGCAGACGGTTTTCATTTGCAGGAGAACACTTGACATTTCCAGTTGATGTGTTTTAAAAGCACTTATTTCGGAGTCTGCCGATCAGCTCGGGCCCTTCTGGCCCCTACGGCCCCTGCGCTACACTCCGCTGCTGGAGAAGCCTGGGATTAGTCAGCATTTACAACAACTCTTGATGAGTCGCTGTGGGAACCCATCTTCCTGTTTCAGAAGATTTAATATTAATAAGCCATATTGGGTGGGAATATGGACTCGGAATCAATTAATTTTGCAGCCGTGCCTTGACGATCCCCCGGACGTCATTCACCAGCATGCCGTAATCTCTTTTGCTCATGAGCAAACACATGAGACGGAACCAGACACCCTCGACGGAACGAAGCAAATTCCGGTTCCTGCGTATATGCGTCTGTCCCGCCGAGCGTAATGAACAGATGAGGGAACAGCGAAATTAATCACGATACCACTGTCAGTGAGCCAGTCGTTTGTTTAGTGTCTGACTGGGTTTTATGCCTCCTTGCCATTTCATATACATTACTGTGCAGTCATTAAATGCTATTACTGCCTAAATCTAAATCCTCACTCAACACTCTCATTAAAGCATTTTGGCATGTCCTGAAAGAACATAACAAACGGCATTCGGTGAGATCTATGAGTTCACTGTTTATGACCGGCAGAACAAAGGCAGTCATTTTGAAATTGATTAACTAAATTTTGTATGCATGATTTTTTTTCTGGAGCTACCTACTCCCTCTTATACTTTCTTATTCGCTTTCTTTAAACCTGCTCCTTTCATCATGACATTCACTGGTTTGGGAATTGCTGGACATGAGCAGTTCGGTCAGAGAATATTCTTGGAAGTCTTAAAAAAAAAAAAACATGAAACTGCATTAGCAATGCATTTAACTTCATATGAGTGAAATGCAATAATCAGTACATGCTTATATATATTTACACTGCCATTCAAAATTGTGGGGTTTTAAATGTTTTTGACTATATTTTAATATGTAATTTATTCCTGTGATCAAAGCTGAATTTTCAGCATCATTACTTCACTCTTTAATGTCACATGATCCTTCAGAAATCATTCTAATATGCTGGTTGGATGCTCAAGAAACATTTATTATTATTATTATCAGTGTTGGAAACAGTTATGCTGCTTGATATTTTTACTTGACAAAATACTTCTAGAAAATATGAACTCAAAATAATGATTGATTATTCAAATTTGTTTTTATAGCTGTTTTCACAGGAAATATTGGTATAAAACTGTTTGTTTTTCTTTCCACAGACCCCTAGAACCACCTTTGCAGTCCCCTGGGGTCCCTGGAAGAAAATATTTTTTCCAAATTAACCGTATTTTTTAATGAGAAAAAAATAAAGGGAAAATCCAAGTGGTTGACAAGTCAGCAGGGCCGTAGCTAGAGGATTCGGGGCCCCCTGAAAAAATATTAATGTGGGCCCCCACCACTCTCCACCAATATCATATACTGTACAATAGATGAACATGGAGGCCCACATAACAGAAGATGGTGATGTTGTTGTAAAACCTTTATTTTAAAAGTTAAATGTTTATATAAAAATTACAACTAACAAAAAGCAAGAAATTGTTAAATAATAATAAAACCAATAAAAAAAAAAATAAAAAAAATCCCCCATCAGTCTGTTATAATTCATAAATCAAAAAGTAAACATTTAGAAATTGACAAGAATGCAGTCTAATTAAAAAAATAAAACCATTCATTGTCTTATTTTTTAATAAAGATAATATGGAACTGGTAATATTATTAAATAAAGCGAATACATTTATTCATCCAAGTGCAGTGTGTTGTATTCGTGTTTTCTCGATGTTTTAAATATCATCAGCCGGCAGGTCAGATGCATAATGCAATGCGTCGTGACTCGTGTCATTTTTTTTAAACTCTATTTTCAATAGTGTAAAAAGACAGGAATTTAGACCACGTAATCATTAGGTCGATTGTGGATAATAAAAAATGACTGTACACGGCAGACTGTAGATGGAAGTTTTCTAATTCCCAGCGAAATAACAATATATAACCGGTCTTTAAGAACGTCTTGATCGACTGGGATACAACCACTCTCCTTGCCTCCCTCTCCATCTTTTCCTGGCATTTCTGGTTCCCTGATTTATGTTTTCTTTTCCCCGACATTTTTCAGTCAGTCAGTCTCCTGCTCTTCCACCAAGTTCATCGTTAACTTCAGGCTGCCGCCTCAACTCTGATTGGTTCTGTTCACGAGCTGGGGCGGGACTTACAATTTTATTGGGTCCATCTGATGTTTGTCACTGACTCTGACTGAATAATTAATAAATACTTTTGGTCGGACTAAACCATTTTTATGGAGGTAAGAGAAGCAGATATTTGGAAAAATATTTGCCCAAATTGCACATTTTTGCGGTTTTCATTTAAATCTCAGGCATACAACTAATATAAATATTAGAATTATTCATACTACAGGGGCCTAAATAGTATAACTGCTGGATTTTGTGGGGCCCCCTGGGCAGCGGGGGCCCCTATAATTGTCACCACCTTTCACCCCACTAGCGACGGCCCTGCAAGTCACCATACGAAACACTCTCTCTGACACGCTTACCCTGTGGAAAACGGATGGTCCAGTAAACGCTCAGGCACTGTTGTTCCATGCGAGCCCCTCGCTGACACTTGCATTCTTGCAGGGGCTGATAGTTCATGAGGTTGTTCTGGGCATCGACGCAGGCCTGCCGTGCCTCCAGACCCAGGGGAGCCACCGCCTCCTCGTCCACACAGTACTCCAGGTGCCGGAACGGTCGCTTACACTCCGGGTCTAACACACATTCCTGTACAGCCTCGATGCAGTCCGCAGTCCCCGGGAACACCGGCACCACAGAGGGAACAGACCCTGGAGGATAGTGGGTTAAGTCAATTAAGCAAGTATTTATTAACAATATGCTTTACCAATGAGCTAATTGATTTTGCAGACAACAGTTGTGAGCAGGCCCAGATGTAATGCCACATTTTTGTGTTTTCATACAGGCTTTTTCACATTTTGTACATGAAGTTTCAAAAAATGTATTTAAACATCATAAAAAGTCTTACAAACAGCTGAGATGCAACATTCCGAACTGAATAGAGAATCTGTTTCTGAATTTGAATTGAATTTGAGCCAAGAGAATGTGGAATTGCAGTCTGAATTTGAATGTGAGGAAGTAGAAATTCAAAGAGGTTTAACTGTAACTTTTAACTAGAAAAGTAAAGTTTGGCAAGTCGAACTTTGAATGTTGGCTGTTGGCTGATTGAAATGGAACCACTACAGTCCTATTGGTTAATAAAAACAGTCATATTGGCCAAAATATTTAATAAACGAATAGGGGCAGGGAATATGTAGGACTTTGTGAATGAGTGGCGTTCCAATTCTGTGGAATTTTGATTCTGTGTGTGTCTGGAAATGACACATTACAGTTTCTGGATTTTCTCTATAATACATCAGTTTTAATATCTGCATTCTAGACGCACAGAAAACATTCTGACAGTCAGTGACCATGTAAAAATGGAGATCAAAGTCCCTTAACTTGCACCCAAGGGCTGATTTAATAATGTGTCAAATAATTTAAAGGGGACCTATTATGCCCCTTTTCACAAGATGTAAAATAAGTCTCTGATGTCCCCAGAGTGTGTATGTGAAGTTTTAGCTCAAAATAACCCACAGATAATTTTTTTACAGCATGTTTAAATTGTCACTTTTTGGGGCTGAGAAAAACGCACCGTTTTAATGTGTCTCCTTTAAATGCTAATGAGCTGCGGGTTCACAGCACAGGGGGCGGAGCCTAACCAGCTCGCGTTCAGTGGAAAGATGATAATATCAAAACAGAAACTCACAGTAACGTGTTCATTTCGACTCGGACAATAATGCCTACATAGTCAGAGAATATATGCTGTATGGATTTGGAACAGGTATAGTTTAGTTTAATTACGGTTATATAACCTATGTGTCATTGATTGTAGCCACTATTAATACAAGCCTGCTGTAGGACCATGTCTGAATGATGACACAAAATATACTGATGGGTTTAATAAAGTTTATTGTATGTCACACAAAAGATGAAGCGTCAGTTTTACTCCAGAAAATCACTGTAAGAGCTGAGTAAACACAGTATAAGTACAAATTTCGATAGAGTTGAGGGAGCATTTTTCAAAGACAAAATGAACCCACCTCGTCTTCAGCGGGTGGCTCAGATTTCAGGAGTAAATAGAGAGAGCTATGTGAATGAATACATCCAGCCACAACACCTTCAATGCTTGGGAGACATTCTCATTAGTGCAGCAATGGCGGATGTGTACAACTTGCTGTGAACTCGATCAGGGCGGGTCTAATGCTGCGTTCCAGGCAACCTGTAACCCGTGTTTTTCCAACCTTATACCCGTGAAAGTACACTGGAACGGCAGTCAAACCCGTGAACTCGTACTAGATCGATGTACTCCCAGTTACGAGTTCTGACGTCACATAGCCCGCAAAACCATACAAAACAACAATGGTAGCCCCTACGGATGCAGTGTTTCTGCCAAGGGGGTAATCCATCGACCGGAAGTTGAAGCCGGCCGGGTGCCGCCATGTTGTAGCAGAACTTCACTTGCGTTAGCATTTCCATTGACTCCCATTCATTTTTGCGTCACTTTGACAGCGAATAACTTTACATCTGAGGCGTTTAAAGACTCCATTTGTCCATTATTTATTTCTAAAGAAACACGACAATGTATAAAGGGCTCCATTACCTTCTATGTTACACTATGGCCCCGTAGAAACAGATTTAGTAAAAATAGGCTAACGATTGCGTCATAACCACTCGACTCTCTGTCGCGCTGTACAGAAGTTACCGTACAGACAGGAGGAGAAGCTCGCAGGCAATCGGTGGGACGTCCCGTCAAGGGAGAAGCCCATAGATAATGAGTCCATAAAAGCAACGGAATACTTACTCCTGCTCACTCACGATAAAGCACTCTTTGCTCAAGTTCCCCGTCTCTGCAAGATTAACGTTGGCAGTTTTCACGCACAGCTACTAGAAGATTAACGTCTGTCAGACAGGTTGCTCACGTCATCAAGCTTAGTTTGAGTCGGTCTGAGTCTGCGCGTCAGGAACGGAAGTTCTCAAAAATCGCTAAAAGTGGCCTTCAACTGTCTCAACTGAGTTCCAATGAGATCGCTCTGTCCATTTCTTTTACTGTCTATGGTTTCTGCAGGCGGTACACAGTGAGAATACACTTTAGGACAATATAACGTTGCAGTCAAATTAATAATAATATACTAATAATGATATAATACACACAAGATTATGTATTACAATGTTATGTGTCTGAAACAATAAGTACGTATATACACACAGGATTATGTATTACAATGTTATGTGTCTGAAAAAATAAGTATGTATATTGCGCTCAGGTAGTTTGGCATGACTGGCCTGGAATGCTACAAACTCGTGAGTCATGGTTTGAAGTCGTGATTTACGTGCTCAAAAACCTGCCTGGAACGCAGCATAAGTTAAAACGGCAATGTCTGTCAACACTCGTGGGCGGGGCCTGTGGCTTTAGTGACGTCACTAAAGCCGCATTCTGAAAACAGGTCGTTGGGAGACACTGCTTATGATTTATGGGGATTTTTAAAAAAAGGAGTGAGTGGATTTTTATCACTGTAGGGTGGTTGTGTACACACACTGCCAACACACATTTATGTCCAAACACCATACAAAAGTGAATTTCGCATAATAGGTCCCCTTTAAAAGAGACCTCTTCTCTGAAAGGGAATTTGCCGGCTCGCAATTGCAGGAGGACAGATAACTTAAACGAGCAGAAAATCTTCATTCACCAACTCCATACATCAAGAGTTTCAACCGGAGTCCTTGACAACAGACACTTTGTGCTTTGTGTCCGTTCTCAAGCTCGATCCTGACAGACGTCAACTCTAGAGACCCTCGCCATCAGCCGGGGTCTCGGTGTGACCTGAGGGAGAACTGTGACAGGGCTGTGTAATTTCATGGCTTCGTTTGCTGTTTTTCATTAAATAGCAACAGAAAAAGCCTTGCACTCCTGTAGAAGCATGAGACATATGTTTCTTTTCCTTGTATTTCTCCCCCCTGACCCCCATCCCTCTTTGTGTCTGTTTTCCTTCGCAGCGGCAGGGACTGTAATTGCACTAGGCCTCATTTTAAAGCATGTGGTGATTGAGAACCCACGGCTGTGGCCGGCAGACTAAACGTTGGTCATGGTTTAGGACTGCACTACCACAAAATAGCACCTCCTTCCACAGCTCATGGAGCGATGATCCATGCATGAAAGACCATCTACTGCGGCGGCCCAAGTTAAACAGACAAGTAAACACACTTTGATCTTTCACATATATGGTAAACGGTTCAATATTGAGATGTTATATGCAAGTCTGACTGTAAAGACAGGTGCTTGTTCTGCCACTGTTTCTTTTTTTCTTCTTATGGCCGGTACACATTGCACGATTTTGGGCTGTCCCAGACGAAAGAGTACCAATCGTGTCGATTTCTGTGGCCGTGGCTCCTAAACGTTGGTCTACGACGTTGTACAGTGAGAGTTTCAAAGACGGCCATTATCAAGATGAAGTGTGTCATTGCTGCACCTCTAGTGGCACAAAGCAGAAATGTTTTCAAACAGGTTTCCCATCTGCCCTCGGATAGCCACGCCCTAAACTCACACCATTGGTTGAGTCAGTGCTGCTGTGTTGTTACAGTTTTCAGTCAACCACTGAATGTCTTTACACTGCCTATTAAGATTGGATTCGAGAAAGTATTTTAACATCATGAAAATGACAATGTACAAATTCTCAGTGACTAAAAAAAGGCCCACTGAAGTGCCTTGAAACGTAAAGTGTTATTCAATGTGTTGACGCAATCTGAAACAGGAAGACAGGGTGGGACAAATCGACTAGCTCCTCCCCATTTTTTTTAAATAGCCAATAGCGTTTTGTTTATATCACAGCTCTGCCAGAGCTGTTGAGATGGGTAAAGCCGCATTTGACAGCCTAATAGATTCCCCCTTTAGATTTAATATTAAACTGTTACTAAAGCAAAGCAGTGAATGTAATCATGCTTAGGATGTGTTGTTTTAAAATATAACATTCTGTGGAATTCAAATGGGTCCGATACGTTTTATGGTCTGCGCCGACTTGTGCATATGATCCGCTCTGTGCTATCGTGTCTCTGGACCTGATGCTGGGTACACACCAAAAGATTTTTTACATCTTATAAGATTTTCAAAATGTGATAGACCACAAACATGAGGACAAAAAATCCTAGATTTAAGCGTTTTGCTCCTATAGTGTGTGGTGTGCCATGATGTGACAAAGACAGCACACCACACACGAACAGATTTTCAACCAGAGTCTCGACTGTGAACAAAGGAAATCTCACAAAATCTCGCGAGACTTCAGAATAAGCTTGGCGGACGATATGCAGGAAGAAATTGCGATGATGGTGTTTGGAATGATTTTCACAGAAAAACATTCGTGCTGTTGCCACAAATCAACAAGCTGATCCTCCATCTCTGCTGTCCACATCAATTTAACTTTTTGCAACGCCATGACTGCGTTTGTTATGCTTCCGTCTTCCATCATCTCGCTTTCTGATTGGATATTGTTTCGTTTCACGTGATAATCTCCAGAGCGTGCGCACGTTTGTCATCGGGGTTCCCCCCACACATCAGGATTTCTGATCGTAAATATTCAACATGTTGAATATTTACGATTCGCGATCGGGGCGGCTCCGACGTTCTTCCGAGCAGGTTCGGACACTCTTAACACACCTCACACCAAGGGAAAATCTGATAAGATAATCTGTAGAACCATCAAGATAATCAGGACATAGCTAGGATTGTCGGAAGGGG